ACTCCCTGCAAACGGTCAATGACAGTAGCCTAGTTCTACTAAGATATGCACATATAAATAAAGAAATAAACAAATAAATAGATAAAAAAATAATAAATATAAATAAACAAATAAATATATACATATATATATATATATACTCCAGACCCTCTTATTCCACTTATTTATGAAGGCCCCCGGGTCAACCGACACACCATGCCATGGCTCTGACTGTGACGAACGACCTGCAAGCCCCCATCGAGGTGGGAGTTTCCGAAAATAGGGCTTATAGGGTTTATAGGGTTTAGGGTTTAGGGGTTTGGGGTTTAGGGTTTAACTCCGAAAATAGGGACCCTAATATAGTACCCTAAATAGTAGGATCCTTATTATAAGGACCTGAAAATAAGGTACCCCTTGTTTTCGGAACCTACGAGGTGAAGGATGGGGAGGAGTGGACTGTCGTGTATCCCGGGCTTTCTTGCGATGTGGGAGTGGGAGCGTCGGATGAGTCGGATGGAGCGGTGGTTTTGGAGGTGCGATTGATTGAAAGTCCGGAGGTGAGGGGCAGCTGCCAGGCAGCGGCAGGCCAAGGGCTGCGGGCCTCCCTGGATTTCGAGGCTTTCAGCCGAGAGGCCAAGGGCCGGGACCGATCCGAGGCCCGGGAGTTGAGCCGTGAAGGAAAGCGACGCGAGGAGGCCCAGGCACGGACGGAGGCGATGATCCGGCAGGCCACCACCGAGAAGCGGAATGCAGACGCATGGCCGAGTGCCCGAGGAATTCTGATTTTAGTTGGGCCTCCCTTGGCTCTCCTGGTCCTTTTTGCAGCCATCTCGCCCGAGAGTGCCGTTGCGGCCGTGCTGCTGGCCAGCGCCACGGTGCCTCTGTGCTGTTGCCTCTGTATCCTAACCGTTTCCTTTGGTGCTGGCGAAAGGGGCAAAGACGAGTTCAATGACTGTAAGTTTGGAAAGTACGTGGATTTTGTGCGAGTTGGCGTGAAGGTGGCAGGGCTTCTTGCGCTGGTGACTCTGGCAGTGCTGACAATTCAACACGCCCTGTCAGGGTTCTGGTGGACGGCAGCCATCGTCTGGCCTGTACCCTTAGGTGCCGGCCTATGTCTTGGTGTCGTGTTGGTAATGTTCAATCGGAGAGACTTGGACCATGATCAGAAAGAACAGCGAGAACGAGAGCACAGGGAAGCCCATGGCGAAGTGAGAAACCGGAGCATCCGCTTCGAAGGGAGCGTCATCCGCGAACGCGGGCGGCCCTGCGTGGCGAGCTGGCCGGGGAAGTACGAGGGAGCCTGGGAGTCGTTGGTGTCTCAGGGCCGGAACGGCCAGGTGAGTGCAGCGGTGGTGTTTCTTCCCCAGGGCACGCGCGACCACGGCAAGCACGACAGCATCCCGAAGAGGGAAGACTTGCCGGGCACCTGCTGGTGCACACCACTCTACGGCGAGCCAAAGTCTTGGGGCTGCAGGTGGTTTACGAAGTGGAGGGAGAACATCGAGAAGGCGGTGCAGTCTGGAGCAGAGCTGGAGGTGTACTACTTCCAACCAGGTCGGCAAAGGCAAGGTGGAGAGCTTCGAATCTGCAGGCAAAGAGAACCTGCAGAGGGAGAAGTTGAACAAGAAGCAAGAAGACGTCGAGGCGTCACTTCAGTTCAAGCAGCTGCTGGACGCAGGTCTCGGCAACCTCTCCCGGGAGCCCCGTGGCGATGGATCCTCCCAGTACAGCCGAGAAGCCCGGCGTGTGTTCCTCGCTTCCCTCTTTGAGGAGGAACGCCAATTTCTTGCAGCGTCAGAGGGCCTCGGCAACTCCCAGAAAGCAGAGGTCGCATGGCTGGAAAAGAAGGGCTACGGGTGGACGTCTCCACGTGGCTCCCTGCAGAGGGAGTTGAGCGACACGTCCCAGCCTCTGTGGAGACTCCGGTGAGGGTGCCTGGGCGACAGGATGACTTCCCCTCAGTTTCTGTTCCTATCCATCCGCACTAGAGACTCTGCGAACACAGCCAGAGTGCGACCGGCAGGAGCACGTTTCCCCAATCTCACCAAAAGCCGGGGGTCTCGGGACTTATCACTATGCAGTAAGCCCTTAAAGCAGCAAAACAACAACGTTACCGGGCCTTCAGGTTCCAAGGACCAGATTGAAGGAAGCCGTTTCGAAACCTAACTAAACCCTAAACCCTAAACCCTAATCCCTAAACCCTAGACCCTAGAGCCTCGCGTGTCAGAGGGCCTGAAGTCGTTCTTGCTAAGTGCCGCGGCAGGCGATGTTTAGCCTCAGCCCCTAAACCCCTAAACCCCTCAACACCTAACCTCGCAACCCCTAGACCCCTAAAGCCCTTAAACCCTAAACACCTAATCCCTAAACCCCTAACCTCGAAATCCCTAAACCCTCAAGCCCTAAACCCTTAAACGCCAAATCCCTAAACCCCAGCCCCGAAACTTTGGCATGGAAAAAGACCAGGGGCCTTGGCAGTGCACTAGAATCTTCAGGTACAGAAGCTGGCCGACAACATTGTGTTGCTGGGGTTTGGGGTTTCGGGGTCTACGGGTTTAGGGTGTCGTGGGGCTTAGGTTCTGCAAGCGTTTCGGGTTTGATCGTGATCGTGCGAAGATACTAGAGGCTGTCCGCAAAGACGTGTCGCCCTCGTGTAGCTGTCCTCCGCGGCCAGCAGCTGTTCCAAGTTTAAGAGACCCTGAATGACCCTGAGCCGCAAATTCTGAATCCGAAAGCTTGATTGAGAGTCCCTAGCAGGAGTTTAGGGTTCAGGGTTTAGGGTTTAGGGTTTAGGGTTTAGGGTTTAGGGTTTAGGGCTTACCAGGACCTTAGATTTAAATATTCTACCGTTGTAAGGATTTATTGTAAGGATTTATACAAAGAGACCATAGCAAGGAGTATGACAAAGGAGGAGGGCACTTCAAGCTTCAGGTCCCTAAACCCTAAACCCT